TTTTTTTTTTTTTTTTTTTTTTTTTTTTTTTTAGCATTTAGGACAGTGGAAATAATACAAGATTAGAGCAGAGCTTTTACTAGAAGCTGTTGCCAAGTAGAACTTGTTAACATTTCAACTTTGAGTAGAAAAATGTGTGTGTGTGTGTGTGTGTGTGTGTGTTTGCATAAACATATGTGTATTCTTTTCCCAATGTGCAAAATGGAAACTCAGACCAGAGTCCGTTCAAAGCAATAAAATAATTAGTAGAATTTTATAACCTATATAAAAACATTTTCAATAGTTATTACAGTTTCTTAGGAAAGATCTAATTAACTGGAGAAGTAACTAATTGGAAGTACAGAGCAGGAATTGTCAGTGAAGTGGTGAGTCTCCCGAGGGCTGATTGGTCTAAATACAGCTAAAATACGTCTTCCTTCTCTGTCACGTGTTCTTGCCTAAGTGATGTAGTGCCTTTTATGTCCTAAGCTTAATTTGTTTTATTGAGACAGGATCTTCCTAAGTAGCTCAGGCTGGTCTGGAACTCCCTAAGCTTAATTTGAAAGCTTGTAAGAAATTGTGAACATACATGTGTTTTATCTTTGTGAGCATTTTGTTTTAAAATAATACTCAGTTTAGAATATTTAAGTACCTAGTTTGAGGGGGCCTTCTCACCAGTGAATTAATTTTGATTTATTTTCATTTAGTTCTTAGCAACTGCTTATTTAATTTTTCTTTAAACCTGGAATCTTAGTAAGAATTATGTATTCTTTATTACTCAAGTTATTCTTTAAGATACATAGAAAAGAAATCTTAATGCTTATTAAGTTTAAATTTGGCAGTAAAGAAACATTTATGCATTAAGGAATTTTTTTTTTTCTCTGAATGCCAGCAGGGCAGGTTTGGCTGGCTTGAGTTGTGGGGATTGAACCACAGCAACCTGAGCCTGACTGCTTTGTGGAAGCAGCCACTTAAAGAACTGAGCTAAGGGGCAGGCCCCTTCATTAAGGTATATAAGTATATATCATTGTTTTGCCGGCAGTAGGATGATGAAATAGTAGTTAAAAAATTCATTTTCTTAAATAACCAGTATGGATTTTTCAACAGGTTGGACCAGTGTCATCAAGATTTGGTCATTATTATGACATATCCAAAAAGATGCCACAGGAACTCCTGGAGACTGCACAATGGCACGGGTTTTTCCTCCCAGAGAAGATGTCTTCACCTCCCACTGCTGAACCCTGGTACGGTGGTCGCCCTTAGGAAAGCAAGTTCTGGTCCACAGAATGCATTTTCCACACCTGAAAGGATACGCATCTAAGCATACGTATCCTGATAGCAGCCTCACGTGTCTAATTTGTGATTACATGTAGTACTCGTGATAAGTCTGTGCGCTGTCGCCTCCTGCCCTGCCTCTTCTTTTGTTGTTCTCTTTCTTGCTCTGGCTCTGTGCTGTTGGACTGGTTATTGCTGTAATTTACAGCTTGAGCACTCGAGATGTGAGGCTAGTTATGATCTCTGGATGTATTTCCCCCAAAAATGCAAATAGTTAACAAGTATAGTAATAGCAGGGACAGCACACTGCCACAAAGTAAGTATGTACTTTCCTAAGTCTATTTAGTTATGCTGTAAATAAAACAATCTGTGCAATTCTAGGTCACAAGGTAACTTAGTTTGGATTTTATAGGGAAGAGTTTAAATGTTAAAACAAGCCAAATCCATTTATACTGTCAATAATTTCAGTAAAACAGAACACTGAAAATTACAGGACTTGGTATTGAATAATGTACAGAGTATTAATATTTAACTTCAGTTCTTATCACAGTAAGCTATGAAGTAGGGCTGTAGGCTTAGTCAGCCTTGCACTGTAAAACTATTGCGTTCAATGTGAAGTGAGTATTCCATGAAGATTTACTGCACAGGAAGTTGTACGTGGGGACTCACTGTCCTGTGACTTCTTGGGAAACGCACCCTGTGGAGCCAGTGCGCTCAGTCCTGTGCGTCTGCTCCCAGGCCCTCACCTGCCTTCTTGGGGTCCGCATCGGGCAGGCGCTCTGCGGGCAGCGCCCCAGTTGGTGCAGCAGGAGGACTTCCCGAGGAGACTGCAGTCCGCCCCACTGCCCGTGCTGCACCCTGGAAACCCCATGTTCACCCTCTACAAGTAGGGGTGCTCAGTCTCCAGAAGCTGTTAACACAGGAGCAACTGATCCGAGGCTCCCGCATTGCATCATGGAGCCCTGTTAGGCTGGGAGCTTAGCTTGGCAACTTCAGGGTTGGGCATCTTTCACTTTCACCTTTTGTGTTATGAAGAAAACAGCACTGGTAGAGAATGAAAAACCTGAATTCAGATGCTGTGTTCTTTCTCCTGTTAATCCTGAGAAAATCCCTCAAAGTCAGTGAAAATTAATATCATTGTGAAAAATTGGAGCTGAGAAAAAGGGCAAATGCTACCTAGTCTACCTACATGGATAATTTTGGTTAATTTTGAATAATCACACTGATTATACTAGTGCCTAACTTTTGTTTTGTTGGGGCTCTTTTTTGGGGGGTGGTACCAGGAATCAGATTTAGGACCCCATTTGTGCTTGCCTAGCCAGACGCTGTGCTGCTGAGCTGTATTCCTGGCCCCCAGTAGCTCTTAGCTTTTGCCACCTGGTGAGCCAGACTTACATTCTGGCATGGGAATGTATGCAAACAAGCTCCGTGGCTTCTCACGCGGTTGGCGGTGGAGGACAAATGGAGCTGGCTCTCCCAGGCTCCTCCTAGGTCTGTCCCTAGCACCCCAGAAAGGGGACATGTACCCAGTGGGTGAGGTGTTACTTCTTTGACCTAGGAAATGTGTTTGGACTCGAACTTTCCTTAGCCAAAAGGTGCAAGGTTTTCACTCCAGCATTCACAGCTAAGCGAAGGAAGGGGGGACCTGTGGCCACATACCTACTGCAGGTGGGTGCCGTGCCCAGCATTTCACCGCGGCAGATGTGCCTCTCCCACAAGCCTCCTGAGCAGTGGTACTCGCTTGTGTGATAGGAAGCTTAAGGTCAGAAACATAAGGAACACTCCCAGGCTACCTAATCCCAGGTGTCCAGAATTTGCTCCAGACGCCTGTGTCCCCCGGAGGCCAGGTTGCAGCCTGCCCAGCGGTTGCCAGGAAGTACCCCTTGCTTAGCTGGGAACCTGGATCCAGGGGTCTCTAAAATGCGTGTTTTCTGAGAACTAGAAGTTTTGTACAGAATAGGAAAATTTATAGATTTTAATTATCAAGGCAGTATTTCATTTCATACTAGTTAACTGATAATTCATTTATTTCATATTAAACTTAAATGCTTAATTAAATGTAATTAAACTTTAAACATGTAATTAAATTAATTTTGAAAATGGGTACTTTACCATGAAAGATTTATTTTAATTTATGAAAAGCATGTGCTCATTTCAGTAAAATGAACTTTACTGGTTCATTTATAAAACAATAAAGCTAAGCCTTATAGTTAGTCATCTATATTTCCTATAATTAAGACTAGAGTGTATAACTGTATCCTACTATCACATGTAAAAATAAATATATATAATTTCATAATTTCTAAAGGTGCTATTGACAACATGTAAAGATATTTTTTCAGCAAGTAAAACTAAAGGTCATTTGAAATTTGCAGTAATTTTAAATTATTGGCAGATTTGTCTTTGTAGAATGTTCAAACGTACAACCTACAGTTTCAGATTTAAGCCTAGGTATGACAACTTGATGTTGTGTAGGCATTTCTGACATTTCATCGTCATAAGCTGCATAACCTCGGTCACAGAACAGTGGAGCGAGGCTCACCCTGAGCACAGCCACGCAGCCGGAGCCCCGCGTGCTTGGGCATTTGGCAGAGTGGGCGTTCATCCTCACCAGAAGCTGCTGTGTGCTCCAGGGAGGCAGCTGTCCCGTGAGGCAGTCCTGACCGGTGATGGACTGCAGAGGGCCTTTGCAAGGCCTCGGGAATTGAGGAGGTGGCCAAATGGAGCCTGGTCTGATGGGACCATGTCCTTGTTGAAGAGGAGACCAGAGCTCTCGGGCAAGCTCCGTGCCTGCACAGGTGCTGCGCCACGTCTTGGCTTCCAGAGCCCAAAGACGAGAAGAAAACTTCTGACAGTGAAGCAGCCTGTGTCTGGCCTGTCGTGACGGCAGCCTGTGTCAGTCTGTTCGTGTTGCTGAGGTAAAACACCTGAGATTGGCATGTTTATTTTATTTTTTAATTTTTATTTATTTATTTGTTGCACGGCCTTCCTTCAGACTCATAGTGATCTCCTGTCTCAGCCTCCCCAGCATAGGGATTAGAGGCGTGCATCATCAACACCCAGTTTCATTGGCCATCACAGTGCCCCCAGGGTTCTGGACCTACACGGCATGCAGTGCGGGGATCAAACTCAGGATCTTGAGCTTGCCAGGCAGAAATTTAGACCACCAAGCCATCTCCCCAGCCCACTTGGGGGTTGTTTATAAAAAAAAAAGAAAGATTGCCAGATGTGGCCTTTCCTACCATCCTAGCACAAAGGAGGCTGAGGAAGGAAGAATGACGTGGATTTGAGGCCAATGTGGGTTAAATAGTGAGTTCGAGGCCAGTCGGAACTGTATAGTGAGAACTTATCTCATAAAGACCAAAAAACAACAAAAATACAGAAAAGTGTGTTTCCCCAGTTCCCGGCAGGCAGGTTCTGTGGGCTGATGAGGGCTGCCCTCTGCTCCCAGAGTGACAGCGGGTCCCTGCTGCGCTGCAAGAGAAATGCTGTGTCCTTGCATGGCAGAAGGTGGAAGAGCCAAGCACTGCATAAATCCTCTTTTATGAGGGCCATAATCCTGTTTAGGAGGGAGAAATGCTGATGGCTTCATTACCTCCACAAAGCCTGCCCCTTAAGGCCCTCACACTGGCAACACTGGAATTTTAGAGGGACACATTGAACCACAACGGGAGATTTCTGAGCCAACTAGTATTTCTGTTATACTGTAGAATGTTAGATGTTAGCTATAGGTGTCTTAGGTCTTGGATTTTGAGTTAGCATAGAGTTGGTAATAAACAGAACCCATTTATTTATTTATTTATTTATTTATTTACTCCTTGAAATCTCAAGCTCTCATTTATCCAAACAATGAACAGTAATTTTTTAATGGTTTAGTTTTTATACTGATTAAATTGAATGAGCTGAATTCTGAGAAAACTAGGTACTTTTGTAGGGGAACTTGTAGGACAAAATCAACAGATAGAGGGTGGAAATAATACTTAAGGCTGTAGAAGCCATTGTTTCTCTTTTTCCTGCCAAGTTTTCTTGCCAGCTGAAATGGGCCTTCAAGCCTCGTGCACTGTTTTCCTAGATGAAGGCCACGTGTGTTTCTGGCTCACTCCACTGACTTTGGTGCAACTTCTGTCAGGATACTAATCACATACACTATAATTATTTTCCTTGTCTACATGCTTGCTTTCCCCTCTGGTGTTGTGAATCCTCCAGGGGAGTTTTCCTCTCTCTGAGTGCAAGCGCTGGACTCTAGGGCTCAGGTGTCTGCATGTGGAGATTAGTGTGTCCTGCACAGTGCACTGCACGCACTCGGGTGGCCGTAGCCTTCTCTGAGCCCCGACGTTCAGGGGAACAGCAATAATTGACCCTGATGGTACCCCGGGCCATATGGAAGTGTACCACCCTTCAGAGATGGTGTACGACTCTCAGACTGAGAAACAGAGGGCTATAGTGTACTTAGAAGTCAGAAATAGAAAAGTAATACCTGTAAGAAGAAATTATGGAACAAAGCTTTAAACAAAAGTTTGCAACAAAAGTCATATACTTATAGAAATACAAGTTATGTTATTAAAATGAAGTAGTCCGTGAAACATTGATACAAAGCTTAGAAAGGAGGGAAAGACCTGGTGTAGTTGTACATAACAATTCTTGTCTAACTGCCTAAGTTGGTGGTAGTATAATTAAAGTACAAATACCTAAAAATTTAGAGGTAGAACTATGTGCTGATCATCATTTGGACCAGTGAACAGAAATTACTTGCTTGTGTGTTTTCCTTTCTGTTTTTCTCCCTTGTCTTGTGTTGAGAGGTGGGGCTGCTGGGTGGGGACTGATGAACTGTACTCATCAGCAGGCGATGGGCTTGGTGAGTCCAGGGCTGCCAGGCACAGTCACTGGAGACGTGATCTGGAAGGCATGTTCTTGTGCCTTCGCTTTTTGCCTCCTCACTGCCATGGGCTGAACAGACGTCCTGCAGCAG